CTTTACTTCTTTGGCTAAAAGCACCTCGAGAATTCAACTGGATTTGGGTTGGGGTTGGATCTTGGTTTAGAGGCACAGGTTGCAGGAAAATCTAGTTTTTTGACTTTGTAGCCAAAGCTAAAGGCAAGTGGAAACAGTACTACCCGTTTGGTTTTTGTTTGGTCTTTTAATTCCTCTTTCTTTGTTGTTTCTGCTTTGAATTTGGGAAAGGCAGAGTTTTATTGGGGTTTGTTTACAAATTCGTGACTTTTAATGTTTTCTCATTTCTGCTTCTGCTTTCCCTGTTTTTCTCACCCTTGGATCCTGGTTTCAGGGGTCCTTCTAAAAAAAAAGTAGGTTGCTTTATCGGTATCAGGGCATAGTTGCTGATGGGTCTCGGTTCCTATTAATTAATGAGTTTGGGGTCAGGAGTTTGGCTAAGTTGGGTGATACTTTCATCTGACGCTGGGTTTTGGGTTTCTAGTTTGTTCTACAAGTAGTTTTGGTTTTGCCTGTTTAGAGCTGGAGTTCTGCTTTTGAAGCAGCTTTTGTGAATGGACAGTGTTTTTTGCTCTTGGTGAAGGCAAGTTGTAGATTGGGGTTTTTTTAATCTTTCGGCTTTGGTTTTTAACTTCATTTTGAGGTTGAGGTGACCTGAAAATCATATATTGGGAGTCTTTGGCTTCTGAATTTCTTTGAGTTTTTGGTTATTTCTGCTTAGTTTTGGTTGTAGTTTGGCTTCTGTTCTAGCCTCTGTACTGGTCCATCTGAAATGATGGTCTTGTTTGAGTAATTGAGCTTCTGGGTTTTGATAATTTCCTCCTTTTCAGCTTAGCTTAGGGTTCTTGCTTTGTGGGCTGAGTTCTAGGCATCATAGAAGTTCATAATCAAAAAGTCTTCTGTTGCACTCGATGAATTTGGGTTTTTAGGGGTTTTATTGGGAATTCTGTAAACCATAATTTTTTCTTCAATTTGGTTGAATTTCTGACCTTTCTGCCATTTAAATTAACTTGGGAAAACATTAAGATCCTATTTTATAACTTTGAACAACTTGATTTTTCAAATTGATCTTTCCTCTTGCTTTGCCAGGTTCGGTTCCTTGGTGTCATCATGGATTCTCCACAGTCAGTTGTTTCGAGCTCTGTTGTAGCTGAGCCTGAGAAGCAGAAGTCTGATTTTTTCTGTCATGGTTCTGGAGGCTTATCAAAGGGATCTCAAGTTAATGGAAAGGAAACCTTAACGTCTAACCTCAACGGTATTGGGGTCCTTGATGTCTACATACACCAGGCTAGGGACATCCAAAACATCTGCATTTACCACAAGCAAGATGTCTATGCCAAGCTTTGTCTGACTAGTGATCCTGAAATCACGGTGTCCACCAAGATCATAAATGGTGGTGGGAAGAATCCTGTGTTCAATGACAATCTAAGTCTCAAGGTTCGTACTGTTGAATCCTCCCTCAAATGTGAGATATTCATGATGAGCAGAGTGAGGAACTATCTTGAAGACCAGTTGCTGGGGTTTGCATTGGTACCATTGTCTGAAGTCCTCATCAACAAAGGGAAGTTAGAGAAAGAGTTCTCTCTTTCTTCTACTGATCTGTTCCATTCTCCGGCGGGTTTTGTCCAGTTGTCCCTTGCGTACACTGGATCTTCACCAGAAGTGATGGCCATTCCTGCCATGCCTACTCCAGCTGAAGCTGTAAAGGACTCAGACATGCCTGTGTCAGCTCCTAATGAGCTGGACAAGATTGAGTTCCCAGATCCAAAAATAGTGAATGAGAACCAGATGATGGTTTCTGAGTACTTTGGAATCACTTGTACCAATCTAGACTCAGAAACTTCTGAGAGTCTGGCCACTTCTGATACTGAAAATCAGGTTAGTTCAGAAATGGATGTTCATGTAGTGGAAAACATCTCCACTGCTACAGTGGATTCTGTCCAAGCCCCCAAGCTTGATTCTCCTCCAAGCAGTGTATCAACAAATGGAGTCTCTTCCCCATCTATTGCTGCAAGCTGTGATTCCTCTGATGCTCCAGCGGCTTCAAAGACAGCCGCCCAGAAACACAGCTCAGCCCCGAAAGAGAAAACTGCTGAAGTTATAGATGGTGAGAGTGATTCCTCTGGGGTACCAAGCGATTCAGTTTCAAAGCCAGTTGTCTCTGTGAATATCGAACCTGAGCAAAAGGTAGTCCAGCAGGAGATAGTGGACATGTATATGAAAAGCATGCAGCAATTTACTGAGTCATTGGCAAAAATGAAACTTCCCCTGGATATCGACAGTGGACCAACTAAATCTGGGAATTCAAGCTCCGACCAGAAGCTACAGGCATCAAAGAATACAGGTTCTCGTGTGTTCTATGGAAGTAGAGCTTTTTTCTGAGCTAAATGGCTCCCCTGATCCCACGGAAAACAAACAGGTGACTTTAGCATTTAGACTGCAGACTGATCCTAATAGTTAATTGCAATAATGTATCATGTAGTGTGGTGTTTTCCTTTTGTATGTTATGATGCCTTAGATGAGGGGCAAAATCATGACTTGTACTGTTATCATCTTTGTTTTATTTCAACCGCTGTAGTATATATGAACCTTTCCCTTTATAACAATCCCACTGATTTAGCTTTTCAATTATTGCAAATCCTCAACTCCATCAAACAGACGCTAATTATGCAAGTAATTATGTGGTTTGATTGTTGGTCCCATGTGATTTGAGTCAAAACGCAAAGGACAAAGCACCCATGATTTTGCTTTTGGGCCTTGTTGGATAATTAGCTTTGAATATTCCTGTTTAACAGTAGAAGTTGTTACCGTCAGCTAGGTGGTCAGGTAGAGTGTACGACCTCAGGTCTCTACTTACCAAAAAAGAAAAAAAAGAAGGAAAAAGAAAAGAAAGAAAGAAAAGAGAGAACAGTAGAAGCTGTTATTGCAAATTGAGATCAATAACGTGGTTGTGTAATGTCGGCAAAAAAAAAAAAAAAAAGAAACATGGTAGTGGAATGAGGAATTAGTTCTTCTTTTAAGCTTAAACAGTGGGAAAAGAGTAAATATGATAGAAACTGAGAAACTGGGTACATTGAGAAGCAGCAGAACAAAGAAGCTAGCTCCTACCTTCTCTCCCTTCCTGTTTGTTTTCTCAGAAAATAATTTCCCAGAAACCATTGTTTCCTAAACGGGTACTTCAATTATTTCATGTTTTCTGATGGTCATGTGCCTTCTGCAAATCCATGCAATATGGCCATCATCCCTGTATCTCACCCTCCACAAACCAAACTTCTCTGCAATATCCCTCCCAGTTGAGCACCCCCGGTCTCTCAAGAAATCCACAATCCATTGTTGTGCTGCCCTTAGATCCTGTTGAATATCTCCGCCCCTGCCTCTATTTCTGAAAATATTTATACGTCCCATTGCTGCAGCTCCAACGGCCCCTGCAGCAACTGCTCCAGTCAAGAGGGAAGAGTCAACGAGATGGGCAATTTCCTTGCTCAAATCTGGTATCAGTTGCGCCATCCCAGTTGCTAACTGTGCTCCAATTTTCAGAGCAAGGGTTAGCAGCTTCATGAACTTTGTCATGTATGGAGCCAAGCTCTTCACTGCCATGTTGTCAATGTGCATCACCTCACAACCAATCTGATCTTCAACAACATGCATTTCTCGCCGGAATTCACATAACATATGCAGCCGGAGAGCAGTCATCCCTGGAATCATGTTAGTGACCAATCTTGTTGTGTAGTTCTCTGTTCTAACAAAATAAAACATGTTGGGCACTTTCCTCTCTTCAACCTGGACGTTATAGTTCAGGAGATAATTCACTTTACGATGAAGCTCAATCAGTAGTCTGTGCTCATAAAATCTCAGCCCCTGAATCTCCTGCTTCAAATCTCTGATTTCCTGTTCAATAATCTTCAATCTCTGCAAAACTGCTTCCACCCCCTTAGCAATCCCACCAAAAGTCGGCTCAACTTTCTCTGTTTCATCTGCAGTTGACAAAGAAAGATCAGCTCCATCCGGGTTGTTCTCCTGTTGGACTTGCAACTCCTGAGCAAGATTGTACAGATCATGATATCTCCGGTGCAGTACTTCTCGGAAATCATCATCTGATAGGAGGTCTCGGGCAAAATCAAACCCAGCTCGTAGAACAGGCTTCCCGGAATCTGAAACTGGATCCCAAGTATGCTGATAGTCATACATACCATCTGCAGGAACAGAAAGAAGTGCCTGTTTTAGTTGCTGAAGAGACACAAACTGGGTTTTCCGGTACCTGGGGGGAGTCAAATTACGGACACATTCCGGCCTCATGACATTTTCAGTCAAGGTTACACCACTACATAGGCTCTGAATGGCCGGAACTATGAGCTGTTGGATTAGCCTAAGTGTTTCTGTGAGGCTCTTGGTGGAACAAGCAAGGACATCAATGTGGTAACCGAATTGTCCTCCAAGCTCTACTCTGATGTAAATGCCATTTATGGTTATAGAGATGAGGTATTTCTCAAGGGTATATGTTGCTCCATGCTGGTTCTTCAATGCCATGATTCTATTGTGGAGGTGCACCTGTATTTTCAAACGGATGAATATGAATCATGAAATCAGGCCATACTTTCAAATGGGAAGAAACAAAAAAAGAAAAAAAGACAAAAAAAAAAAGGGATTAACTGACGCTAATCTAATTTTCATTCAGATTGTATTTTGCCAAATTAATAGTTAGATTTAATGTTCCAATTATGCACACCAAAATTGAAATCAATTGAATATTTTTCACAATTTCATAATGACACAATTTTAGACCTTTTAATACAAAAATATTAGAAAACTCAACCTTTTTTGCTTGCATAGTTACAAATATAAATTCACTATGCATAATCAATATTAATAAATAATAACTGTAACGGTTGGTTTGTCAAAATATAAACTTTATAAAAAATTATTAATTTACTTTCAAATTATATTGTTATTTAAACTAATATAAGTTAATCAAAATTCATGAAAAAATAATAATATTATTTTAAGATGAAGTAAAATTATTTCTTGTTGGGTAACTGAAGATTAAAAGAAAAAAACAAAAAGGAAATCATGGTACCATTTTGGGCCTAACAACTCATTGGGCTTTAATTAAATCTTGCGCCCAACTTAAGCCAGATACCCAAAAGAAGCCTTGCAAATTGAAAGGGTAAAACGGGAAGATGAAAAATTATTACCTGTAAACGGGGGAAGAAGCCCGGCGTTAGAAAAGTGTGGCTGGAATTATCACAGACAAGATGCCGGCCGGCGAAAATGCAGTCGGAGGTGTTCTGTTGCCATTTCTGCGGTCTCCCTCTTCCTTCTTCAAGAATGGAAGGAATCAAAAGCATAGAGTTTGGGTCCGATGGATCCTGTTCGTAGCAGAGCTCCAGCTTCATCATCATTCTCACAAGGTCGCCGGGTTCCAAGTTCTCGAACACCTTCGTACCTATCCCCGGAATGTGACTTTGCAAACTTCCTCTCAGAATTTTTTCCAGCTCTTCCCGGCTGATGAACCCATTTTCCGGCGAACTTTGCTTCCGAACTTCCAGCTTCACTAGCTGACCCAGAACTTCGCCGCAGAACCATTCGGAATCCAGAATCAGAAACCCTAATTCTTCGAAGTAGATTACTTCTCCTAATTGATGAAGACAGGTCGCCACAGCTTTCCTCCTCATTTCCACATTCTCCTTGTTATCATGTCGGGACCGGATTCTCAAGGCTGGAACTTTAACCTGACAGATGTCGGAAAACTCTCTCCATTTCATTGCTGGTTTGTTGTAGTTCTCCGATCTCCAGTCGGACAGAATCTGGATAAGGTTGTTGCAGAGCTGGTAAACCCTAGGGACTCTCTGGAGGATAGTCCTGGCTGTCCTCCGGGTGTGATTGGTAAGTTTATTCACTGACGCTGATGATCTTGCATCAACTGTGAATACAGTAGGATAGAATTCGACGAATCCATGGAATTTGTCTCTCAGTCTTTGAATTGAATTCACTGTGGCCTGGAGATTATGAGATGGTTGATTGATCTTGTCAAAATGGGTTAGGACAATGGTTACATTGGGTAACAGGCATTGTTGGACTGCTCTTTTTGAGTTGGAGACGATGAATCTAAGCCAAAACTGGAGGTCCTCTTCTACTTCTTCTGGTGTTTTTGGTTCTCTATTGCTTGGTTTCCTTAACAAACTGGATATGATCAGGAAGAATGATGCACTACCATGTCCCGGGAACATCAGGTCATGGAAGGAGTAGTACTCGTGCTGTCCTGCGAGATTCCAGATGGAAATTTTTATGTCTTCATCTTTGAATGTCTTTATTTCCATTCCGGTTGTTCTAACAGCTTTTTCAACTGGATTCACCAGTGTCCTGACTTGCTCAATATAGGGAAGCTTTGGAGGAGAGAAGTTCCGTGATATGGAATTGCAAAGTGTTGTCTTTCCTGTAAAAATGTGTTAAAAGAAATGATAATGTTGAGTTTAAGGATTCGAGTTCTGGGATTGTAGAAACTAGAAGGATGGATCATGGATGGAGTTGAACCTACCAGCATATTCCTGGCCACAGAAGAAAACCCTACAGCTTTTAGGCTCTGTGAGAGTCATGTCCTTGAGCAAATCAGCATGTATGTCAGTTTTGGGTTCTGTCTTCCCATTCTGGCCTAATCTCTGATAAATTCCATCAGCTTTGCTGGAATTCTCCAGGGGTGTTTGAGCAAGGTCGATAACTTCAATCCAAGGATTGACCTGTAAAGTCTCCATTATGGTCTGCAAGACCCTGTCTCCTTGAACTCCTTTGCAACCGTGTAGAGATAAGCTTCTCAGAGTAACATTTTTCTCTAAGCATTTGAATATCCTTACAAAATCATCAGGCCTCATGCTTTCATCACCATAAATCCCTAACCGGGTAACAGTTTCATTTGTTGTTAGCATCTTTAAGATTGCTGAAAGCCCGTCTCTTCCTATTTTTGTTCTCTTTCCCCCAAAGGTCACTGATTTCAGTGTAATGTTGGCTTGCAATTGCACGGTTGAAAATCTGCTCAAAGGGCAGAGCAAATGTTCCACACCTACCCCACTGAACCAGTTTCCATCAAGGTATAAACTTTCCAGGCTCCTGTTCTCGAAAAGTCCGGCTGCTACATACACTACTCCTTTGTCTTTAAGACAAGTGTTTGATAATGTCACCTCTTTCAAGGTCTGATTTTGCTCCAATGCCCACCTGAATTCTTTAGCCCACCTGGATTTGAGTAGTACCCCAGTCAGATCAAGAGACCTCACAGTTGAGTTCAAGCCTAGAGCACAAGCAACTCGGCAAGCACCTGAAATGTCTATTCTGTAAATTCTCAGCGTGCTGTTCTCAGGTACAAACTCAACCACCTTGGAACTTTTCATTCCATGTTCTCCACTCCAAACATGGACTTCCATAGCTCTGTTTCTTGCTAAAACAGCAGATATTAGTGGGGTTGCTGTAATTGAACTTGAGTCAAAAATTGTCAAGAGCTTCAGCATTGAGTTTGCTTCTATCATCTTTGAGAGCTCCTCTGCACCTTTTGATCCAATTGAGTCTTCCCATATCTGCAACTCTTCCACGTTATCATTCTCCTTGAGTGCTGAAGCAATAAGTCCTGCGCCAACAGTTCCAATACCTGATTCAGAAAATGTGATCTCTTTGATACCTCCATTTTTCTTCAAAATCTCAGAAAACATTGCTAAACATTCTATGGTGAACCTATTTTGCCGTAACACAACTTGTTTAATGCTCAAGTTACTGTCTAGCAATCCTCGAAGACTTCGCACCTGTTCTAGTTCCCATTCAACAAAATGAAACTCCAAGTTTCTCAGAGAAAGCTGGGTGTTTTTGGAGGTTCCTAGCACTATCAGGATGTAAGAGAAAAGTTGATTGCTGTCTTCAGAGATGTTAATGTTGATGGAATTGTCTGTTTCTTGGTAACAGCATGAAGATGGTTGAGAAAGGTAGAATGAGATACTGTGAAGGTTGAGGCTCTCAGTTTTGATTGCTTCCAAAACCCATTGGAGATCCTTGAGTTTCTGGCTTGATGCCATTGTCTTCACCAAGAACTGCAGCAGAAGATGGCAGAAATTTTTTTTGCTTTGCTTTAACATTAAAGATGTTACCTGACACTGACAATCTTTTTGATGCTGTTTCCTGATATATTCTATGCTTCGTTTTAAAGGCATTCCTGTGTTCAAATTTGTTTCAAAGGTATAGATACCATTGCACACGTTTGAATCAATGATTTTCCACTTAAAGTTGATATTCAAAAGATGCTTCATGGGTGAAATGAAGATATATTCCTTTCTGACATTTGTTGCCTTTGTTTATACCCTCTTTTCCCGTCTTTCCCATTGAAGTGAATGAAGAATCTTAGAAACCATTAGTTCAAAATTGCAGAGAATCTGTCTGATTGAATCATGGAAATAAAGTTCACCCAGTCTTGGGTAATGTGCAATTGGGCCAAAATGTCAATTTAGGTGCAATCAGGCTCAGTTGAATGCCCAAAAAAGGAACCACTTAAGGTATTGGGATTCTCACTCACTCAGAGTCTCAGACTATCAAAAGCAACCAAAGGTTGCATTGTAACTTGTGAGAGCCCCAAAGACATCAAGGTCCTGATGATATTGGGCCTTGCCCTACATATATAGTTATATCGGCAACCTAAAACAATTACTTCCGCAGACTCTGAGGCCTGTTTGGTTATCCTCTATCCCGGAATGTATTTCCGGTAAAGCTATGCTAAAAGATGTGTTGGCTTGCTCTTGGAAACTGATTGGCAAAAGCCCTCCGTTTGCCCTTCAACTTTTTGAGTTTGAGGCATTTTACCCCTCATATTACAATATATGAGTTTTTACCCTCTATATTTTTGAGTTTAGGAAAACAAGGCAAAATTTAATGCTGAGGGTCACGCGCATCACGTGTATTGTTAGCATCTGTTATATATTCACACGTTAGCGCCAACTTAGATTTTTTTGACATGTTGGCAAGTCCAACTTGGACACTTTGTGAGTTGGAATTCTATTACCGCCAACAATTTAGTTTTTTTTTTTCGTTCCTCCCTTTCCTTAACTTCTACAAACTCTAACATCTCAACCAATCTATTCACCTTAACCAATCTCTACCTTTGCTGGGTTCTTCATTATCATCAAACAGCAAAACCCACAAAAAAAAAAAAAGGAATTTTATTTTAATTTTTTGCCACTGGGTTCCATAAAACCTATGCCTAGGTTCCAAAGAACATCACTTGGGTTCCTTGAAACCTCAGTGCCTAGGTTCCAAAGAACCCAAGTGTGGGTTCCATCGAACCCAGTGCTTGAGTTCCTTGGAAACCCAGCGCCAAGATTCCAAGGAACCCAGGTGTGGGTTCCATTGAACCTAACCCTTTCATTTCCCTTTTGTTTGTTGATGAATTCTATTGGGTTCCAAGGGGAGAGAGAAAGGGAAAGAGAAGGAAAAGAAAAAAAATAAGGGTTCCAAGGTGAGGGAGAAAGGGAAAATGAAGAAAAAAAAAAAAAGAAAGAATTTTTTATTTTTTTATCCTATTATTTTTTTTTATGTCATTATTGTAGAGTCCAAGTTGGACTTACCAACGTATTAAAAAAATCAAAATTGACACTGATGTATGAATATATAATAGAAGTTAATGATATGCGTGATGTGCATGACCTTTTAACGTTAAATTTTATCTCATTTTTCTAAACTTGAAAATATAAAGAGTAAAAACTCATATATTATAATATGAGGGGTAAAATGCCTCAAAAGTTTAAGGGCAAACGGAGGGCTTTTGCCTTTCAGGGTAAAATTTGTTAGAGGTAATATGAAATAATATGTAGTCTATTATACAAGGACAAAATTGATTATATAACCTGAAAACACTTTCCAGCTCAAAAACTCGGTAAGATTTCCTTCTGGAATACATAATTAATTAAAAGCCCAACATAATTAATTATATTTTAAAAAACCCATACTAACCAATTACTTTTAATATATTCAATTATATCACCACCTTGATTTTTGTGCCAGATTTTGATCTTCTCAGACCAAGCCGACATCTTAAAGACACACAGCTTCTTCGGAAATTCTTTCCGGGACAAAGTCTAACCAAACAAGCCCTGAATGGAAAGTGGAAAGTAAATCCCACTCTTCATTCTGTGACAGTAACAGAGGACCACAAAAATGACATAGAAGTATGTATTTTAGGATGTGCCCTGGCAAAAGAGGAAATTGAAAGTGATTTGAAAAGCAAATTTATTTAGAGCATGTTTGAGGTAATTTATAAAAGCTTTTATTTATTATTATTATTTATGAGTGATAAATTTAAATTTTTATTAAAAAAAATTTAAAAATTACTTTTAAATATAAAAAAAATAAGTAAAAAGAAAGTTTACGAAAAACATAAATTCGAAACTTTTGAACTTTTATCGTTTGAAATCTTTTTAAAGTTAAAAAAAAGTTTAAAAATGCAAATTTTTAAAAAGAAAATTTAAATTTATAAAACATAAATAGTATCAAAAAATTGAAATTGTAAGAAACTAACCCAAACATGCCCTTAATGTACCAAAAGAAGACATCCTATTTCATGGATAAGAAGCCTGGAATGACCATACAGAAGCACCCTACACAGCAGAGACACAAAATCTAATAGCATTTGTAACTTTGCTCACGGAAACAGATAACACAATTTTGTTGTAATCTGATCCAACAGCATCTTTGTATCATCTAGATAATCTTCCTGCTACTAATGTAAAACAGCAAAAGTTTATGCAAAAAGGAAGAAAAGAAGAAATGATTTTCATGGTCTTAATGAATCAGAGAATTCTGTAACTTATTTAACAGGGACGTTAGGAATGCATCCCTCCAATGTTTTCACGCTAACAAATTTGAAAGAAAACTCACTTAGAATCTGAGAGAAAAACAATCCCAGATAAAATGTGAAGAAAAATTTACGGAACATGAGCCAGCAACCTTGCCAGGCATTACAGCATTTAAAAAAAAAAATGAAAGAAAGTTTTAAGTCCTATTGTCTGATGTGCTACTGCTAGCACGTCTCACTGGAGATGCATGGTACAATCTTCTGATTATATATCCCGCAATCTGATTTTACACCTCACTCAAATTGCCAAGAAAAGAACCTAAATTCTTTTGCTATTAAAATGGGAAAAAAAAAAAAATCAAATCTCAAACCTTTTAGAGAATCTCTTTTAACTGCTCTCTCTGAATGTGTATGTTTGAATCAAGAACCCCCGTTAGCACTATAACATCAATTTCCTTATAAGCTGACACAAAACAAACAGGACCTTTACCAAATTCACAACCCTTCATCTGTTTCACCAGGTTCCATTCACCTACACTATACCTTCTGACATAAAAACAGTGTATCTCCTAGGTAGCAATTCCTGCAATCCATCAAATGAAAGAAGGTGAACATACAGGCTATAATTTAGTACGATGAAGTGCAAAGTTGTCAAATCAGATAATATTAAAAGCAAAGGCAACATTTGCTTTCAATCCTATAACCTTAATGAAATTTCCAGTTTGTATAACAAAGCAAGTACCGACAACATATGCTATTGATTAAATTAGTTAAGAGAATGGTGGGTAAATTTCAATAGTAAAATAAGTATGTTCTTGATAGTGCATTGTGAAATTTCTGAATTTAATAACAAGAAGTTGCAATGTATATTATTCTTTCACTTTCCCTTGTGTTGCTAATCAAATGGAGAAATAAGTTTATGATGATTTATTGTACCTAACATTGTAGGCACCATGAGCCTTGGGTTTCAAGGGAAGATTTTCATTATTGATTTTTAAGCCTCTTGTATTTTTCTCTAAACTAGTCAAGGAGATCAGCCAGTCTTTGAGAAAATATGGCAGTAAAATTTTAACTAACTTCCAGCTTGAGACCTTCATCTGGAATTAAGAAACTTCAGCTAAACATCATGTCACTATCCGGCATCTGCATTCTATGAACTTTTGTTTAAAAGCTAAACTAAACTTCACAAGTGATTCAAAAGACTCATTTAATAAATTTAAAATTGGTATTACCTCTATTGGATTGTCTATTTGTAACACTGTAACTCCCAGCATAACCCTCAGAATTATCTGCTGTAACATCTGAGGATAAATTGCCAAGTCCATAACCAAATGAACCAGAACCATCTAGCTCAGAAGTGGCAGACCTCCAAGTTGAGTCACCGTAAACTGAACTACTGCGGTACAGGTCTCCATAGGACCCTTCAAAGTTACCAGCTGACCCAGCAAATGATGGAGCCGGTGCTGAGACTGTGTTACTGCTCCTTCCATATCCTCCTCCAAAACCATAGTTGTCATCACCACTTCCATAATTGGCACTCCCACTAGTATAGCCAGAAGCATTTCCTCCACCTTGAGCAGAAACAGGAGAAGGGCTCCAATTTGGACCACTATTTCCTAATGGAACACCAAAACTCCCAGCTCCAGAACCCAAATAACCACCAGCACTGGATGCATTTGCAGCATTGTTAAGGCCCTCATTCCCCCACACATTTCGAGTATTAGTGTTCAAAACAGAATCACCTCTTCCACTTCCCAAGCCATACCCAATAGGAGTACTATACCTGTTTGAATTCCCACTGTAATACGGATTCAACATCCGCCCATATCCTAGATTACTGCCAAAACTGGAAGTTCCACCATAGCTTGGGCTCATCCCTCCATCCGTATTCATACCCATTCCATAACCAGGGGTAGTAAACGGAGGAAATCCACTTCGACCACTGGCAAGAGGGTTGAATCTACCATCTGTCCTGAGTCCAAAACCACCAAGTGAGCTTAGGTATCCCTGAGCATAATTATTGAGGAAGTTGGCAGTCCTGTTCGCTCCATATCCTATAAGAGGGCTACGGCTGGGGCCAGGAGATAGCTCTTTAGGGACTGCCCTCTTAACCTCAACCATTTTACCATTGAGTTCGTGAAATGTTTTATGTAGGACTCTATCTACTGCTTCCTCTGAATCATAAGTGATGAAACCAAACCCTCTTGGCCTCTGAGTGTTATGGTCATACATCACCACAACATCAGTAATAGTACCAAATTGATCAAAGTACTTCTTAAACTCACCCTCAGTGACTGAAGATGGTAAACCTCCAACAAAGATCTTTTTTGTGCGTCCAGGACCAGGAGAACCATGGACACTGGTGTTTCTGTTTATAATGTGTTGATCATCTCTAGGAACAGCCTTCTTTGCCTCAACCTGAAAATTGAGAAGCCAGTAACAATCAGGTAGTTGCACATCATTTCTCTTCCAAGCCAAGAAAGGGCTTGAAATCTATCCAAACCAAATTAAATAAGGTCAATGCTGCAAAATATTCAAACCCAATACTTTGTGTCCAGGGAAATGAAAATTTCTCCACTTTAACTGAGTGACATTAGGGACAATGCACGTCCTATGGCAAAATTTTTGCTCTGGTATTTTGCAGATAAGAAAATCTATAGAATCTCAATAACATCAATAATGTACATGGCATAATCGGAAATTTTCAATCAAGTTACTCACTGTGCGGCCATCAATCATGTGCTTATCCATGATGACCCTCTCTGCAACAGCAGGATCGGCAAAGACAACAAAACCGAAGCCACGGGCACGACCAGTGACACGATCTCTCATGATCACTGCCTCCACGACCTCCCCATACTTCCTAAAGTATTCCTTAAGACGTTCTTCATCAGTGTCCCAAGAAATCCCACCAATGAATAATTTACCAAGATCTGATTCCATCTTCTCTACAATCAGCAATCAAAAATCCCCATGTCAATCACCAATTTCCAAATAACATCAAAAGTGATCCAACAATTGGGTTCAAAATTAAATTTCAAACTCAATTGCAAACTCAATACCAAATTCAACAAATGGAAGACCTTTGACACTAAGAACAAATCTGAATTATATGATTAGATATCATCAACAGCTAAAACAATCAATCTGGGTCAAGAAAACCATAGCAAACAGATCGAAATGTGAATTGCAAGAACAATCGAACAGGGAAAAAAAAAACATACCTTACGTGATGAATTTATAAGGTATGTGATAAACATACCTTGCAGACAGAATCCGATCAAAGACACAAGTGGGCAGTTGTCAAATCCAATCTAGGATCATCGGACACTTGATGGAGCAATCAGAACACGAGCGCAAGTTCCTGATTATGTCAAAAATGACAACTGAGCACCAAAATATGTGGATCAAGACACAGAAAATGTCTGGAGAAAGATCAAACAGAAAGAAAAAGGGAAAAGATGGGAAATTTACCATTTTGGAGATGACCCAGATGACAAAATGAGGAAAACTAAGATCTGAGAAAAGGAATGACAGCAATGGAAACAAAAGAGAAGGTCTTCATTATCTCTCTCTCTAAAAAGGCACTTCTCTTCCCCCTGTTTCCTTTTTATCTTTCTTGGTTATTCCACTCCTCTTAATTAAATAAATCAAAAGAAATGGAATTTGAGAGAGATAGAGAAAGAAGAGAGAGAATATATATGGAGGGAGAGAGATTTTGAGGCAAAGGCAATCCTCTGGTGTAAGAATATTTGGAGGAGCCCAAGGGGGATGACAATAGATGGAGATGTTTTTATTTTTCTTCTCTAATAAATGAAAAAAAAAGGGGTAATTTTTGCAAAATACTTAAAAATTTAGTTATATTTACATAAGATCTGTTTTCTTTACTATTTTATTTTTGATATTTCTCAATTTTTAATACGTAACAATATTGAATAAGTACAATGTGCACCCATGTAAAAACATGACATGCTATTCCTTGCTTGGATTGCATGTTAGAACCAAATCATACACAACTTTTAAATTTTTAATCATGAAACAGACTTTTGGACCACTTTACTTAGAATTAGATCTGGGTTTTTTTATTTTTATTTTTATTTTTATTTTTGTTTTCACTTTGTTAAGGTAAAATTGCAAAGTTTTAATCTTTGTTAAGTTCTAAGGCAGTGTGGTTAAAAAAAGTAAACAGGTCAGCTGGAATTTGGCATGCTGTTGTTTTCTAAATTCTTGAAACAGTGAAACTCACGGTGCAGGATGTAGTCTTCTTGTTGGATTCAGATCAGACCACACATAATAATTGGTGGAGTTACAACTCAGTTCCAATCTTTATTTTATTTATTTTATCTAATTTTTTCCTCAGACACATATTTTGTATCCATCCAAATTATTACAGTTCATTGCCATCGTGTCTTGATCTGGATTGGTCTTAACTTCGGACAACCCAATAAGTTGTAAATAGAAGTACAGCTCAAAATCTTGCGTTGGTATTAATTAGGGATAGTTTTGGAACTCATGAAATGTTAGATTTTTAGTTAATGGTGTAGTATATTGTAATTTGAAATGTATTAAATTATAAAATATTATTTATTAAATAAAATTTTTTTGTTTACTATCAAATCTCTTTTAATTTAATAAATAATATTTTATTATTTAATAGAATCGGAATAGCAAAATTACCTTTTTGTTTTAGTAAATTGGTGTGCAAGTTGCAATTCTGATTTTTTTTTTTTTGGCGACAGAATAACAATTGCAATTCTGATTTTTTTTTAACAGATTATAATTGGGAGAAAGAGAATTCAAACTTAACTTTTACCATCAAACATATAATCATTATATTACAAAATTCTAATGCGTTACAAGTATGATATTTTTTTTTTGAACATATTTACAAGGAATGAGTTTCAAACCCAGTTCAAAGATGGGGGAATGCACCAGGGTGATTATTGCCATTAGGCCTCAAGGACTAGGTGCGTTACAAGTATGATATTTAAGTCAAAAAAATACCTTGGATTAGATGCCGCCTAAAGTTAAAAACTTTGATTAGACAGATACCAATATCAACTACCATTAGATTTAGGAGGGTATCCAATTGAGAATCTGTCATTAACTTCATAACTGAACCCACCCCATTAGGCCACAGCCTAGGACTTTTTGGTAAGAGAAGAGGATCGAAAAAAAGCTACGACCTTTAATGTGAAACAAAAAAGGTGATAAAATTTCGCTAGTGTTTTTGAAGAACAGAAAGAGCCTGCCAAATTTGACAGTCAATCGGTGCAAATTAATGTGAAAGTAAGTATCTGATTCTCGGTATGTTCTTGTATGCAAAGATTTTCTTGGCAATTTTCTGATATTGGTTGAACAACTTGTTGCAGTTTGTACTTAAACTAATTCAGATTTCATCTGGGGTGAGCAAAAGGAAGATTCAATGCTTATTTTATTTTGAAAGGCAAGTGGGTGTGTGGAAGACATGCTACATGTACAGGATATTCAATGACTTGGCGTGCACCATAATCTGAGGGTCCAACTGCAACCCAACTTAAAAAACAACGAGGTAAGTCTTGAGTCCTCTCACAACTTCCCTTTAATTTAAATTAAATCACCGTCCATTTCCCCCAATTTATGGCTCATAATTGACGATTGCCTTGTTCTTTGGTGTCTGTCCTAGTCATTACATACCCCTCAAAAGGGTATGTAAGAACATGGGAAGAAGCTAAAAAGGAGCTGTCTTTTGGAGCAAACAGTATCTACACACTGAGGATGGATGTCCCATTATCATTGATTTCTTGTTCAGGCTTTTTTAATTTATCTATTTCTATTTTGAAGTATGTTATTTGTTTAATCAGCTTGAATATCTGGTTATGCTTGGATTTTACACAAATTTTCTTGCTTTGGATTTAAACAAGATAGATAGGATCATTTTACTGTCTGTTTTCTGTTTGTGTTATGTCCTCAATGAGCTTTATTAAGAAAAGGTTAAAGGGTAGCTTTCAATAATGACTCATATGGAAAAGGAGAGACAAGAAAAAAAATAAAAAACACACTTTGCAAAGTCTATCCAAAATAGTATTACAATAGCATGATTTAGGATCCGGATCACTCTGCCTCCTGTATAAATTGGCTAGCTGATTTTACAGTAAACTTGGACATGGCTTTTTTATTAAACTTAATTTGCAAGTTCTTCATGCTCAACAGAGAAAAACTACTGCTGTTCTTGTTCTTGTTATGGGACACAGGAAACATATCTATTGCTCATTCCAGTAATTAGAACCTGGGGTATCCCAAGTTTCAGGTATGATTGTGTGAAGTAGGCAGCAATCATGATGGTTTGATTCCCAGGATGACAGTGAAGAAATAGAAGGTTCTTCATGGGTATTTGAAACCTCCTCTATCTTCTCCATAACCTCTGCCATGGTTGGTCGATCTTGAGGGGAATGTGATACGCATTTAAGGGAGATGTCTAGAGGAGGAACTACCCATTTTATTGCCTCTCTGTCTATGTTAACCTCCTTGTCAAAGACCTTTACAGTCCATTCCTCCCTCACCATGGACCTCACCCACTTAGGAAGGTCAATCCCAGTTTTCTCTACATTTTTGCCCGTGCGTAACTCCAGAAGGATAATACCAACGCTGTAAACATCCCCTTTTTCAGTCAAACTTTTCTCTGGGGCAGTATAACAATGGCTGGCGAAGGGGGAGTTTTTCTTGGGGTCTAGAAATCTTGAAATCCCATATTCACTAATTAATGGTTCCATGTTATCGTCCAGCAGTATATTTGAGAGCTTGATATTTCCATGGGGAATGCTCTCCTCTCCATCCAACCTCTGATGCATGAAAACCAAGCCCCTTGCTATGCTGCTTGCTATGGACAGCCTAAGTTTCCAAGGGAAACCTCTCTAACCCTCAATATAACCTGAAGGTTAACAGCGACAGTTTGCTTAGAGTTAAGAGACTTCATGGAATTAGACCTCATTTAAGCCATAAGAATCTCATATTAGATGGCCTGAAACTTTTTCCCTACTGGAACCTATTAAGGGAAAGGATAGATCAAGCAATTGTGAATTAAGGCACCATGACAAAAAGAGTTTGAAAGAATGTCCACTTTTTAAATTTTTTCTTGTTCCTATGTTGGTGTTTGCAATATGTTTGAGTATGTGCGTGTGTGCACGCGTGTGTGCCATACTCATGCAGACATCTCCTAGCAAGAATTTTTGCTTGAAATGACTTAATCAATTATACATGTAACTTACTTTCTAGCAAGTTTAGGAGGCTACTATTGCTTTGATACTGGTAGATCAGAAGCTTCTCCTCATCAGTAGACTTGTAAGCAACAAGGCGTAGAATGTTGGGATGCTTAATGTTCCCTATCTTTCTCATCGTCCAACTAAACTCTTCTGCTGATGTCTGCAATTTCTTCAATCTTTTGACAGCAAAAGCAGCGTTGTCCCTAAGTATTACCTTGTAAAGGCTGCTGCAAATGCTCTGACCTAGTAAATCAGCTGCCACCTCCCAGTCTGAACCTCTGGTCATTTTCAACAAAGAACACAAGCTACACAAGCTCTGTTTGACTTTCCTCTGTCTTCACTTCCTCTGCATCCTTAGTGGGAGGCATTTTCTGAGGAGAGTCCTGGCTGATCTTCAGAATCTCCTTCTGTCTCGTCAATTTAACTGCCTTTAGGCTCAGAACATATATGAATAAGCAGAACAAGACGATGCCAAAAACTAAAACTGTGATGGTTAACCAGTTTGAATTCCCTCCGGAATTATCCTTGCTAGGGGCCGCTGCTGCTGTAGATTTAAATTCTGAATCCATGAACTCTTTTGAGTCTAAAGTATTCTTTCTCTGAAATGCAATCAGTTCCAAACGGTGCTTGAAATGGTTGTTGGAGATGTCCAAGCTTTGCAGATTTTCCAACTTGATCAAGACCGGACGTATTTTCCCACTCAGATCATTGCTGCTTAAATTCAAAAACCTCAGCTTTGAACAATGCCAGATTGAGTTAGAAATGGTTCCATGGATGAGATTTCTTGCTAAGCTAAGAACTCGAAGATTATGAAGCTTGCAAAGGGAATTTGCATCAATTACTCCACTCAGATTCAGATTTTCCAAACCTTATTTCTTCAATGGAGGCACCCTAAGATTTTATTTCACACCCTTATGCAAGCAAGTGTTCCCTGGGAACTCATGTGGGTGATTTCCTAACCTGTTGTGAGGATCAACAGATCTAATGAACTTAAGATTCAGATTCAGATTCAAGAAACTCACCCCCCTGACAGAATGTGATCGAGAGAGGAAGAACAACTGCAAAGCATGCTAGTCCCTTCAAGAACATGTAGAAATCTCCCCAATGCATCTTGGAGTTGTGTACTTTTAGTTGTATCATCAGAAACCTAACTAATATGCACTCCTCATTTGTTTTGGTATACCCGGATAGGACAATTTGTTCAGAGTTTCCAATGTTAATGAACATAAACATCCTGCTACCCATTATTTTCTATAAGATAATGTAATCTATAAGGATTATTAAAGGGACAACTTGATGAAGAACATGTTGATTTGTTTGTTTTCATCAAAGGAACAAAACAGTGATTACATAGAGTATTTTTGGATAATACAATGAACTAAGTTCTTCATAGAACTTAACAAAAAAAATCTGGCAGTTCCTTAGTTGTGTTTATTTTGTTTATTTCACTAAGAACAGGATCAAATGCTTGAAACTTAACACCAACATACATCTAATGATAATTGTCAGAATAACAAAGCAAGTTCAAGGCAAAAGGCAGCAGAATATATATTTCTTGTTGGACATGTCAATATTGTTACCATTCTTCCTATGTAATGAACATGAATAATATAACCTTAACTCTCTTTTAGCAATATTAGTCCATATTAGGGCTACAATAAAATCGAGCCTTAATCGAATTGTTTGGACTTAAGTTCACTTTTACAATTTGATTGTGCTCTCACTTAAAAAGTTAAACCTTTTCTATTATATAATTCATTTTTAACTATTCAGACAATTAGTTAATGGATTAATTGGCAGCTAATTAAGAATTTGCAAATGCAGAACACGTCCCTACACCACCCCCCACCATACCAAGGATTTATTTGTTGATTTTTATTTTTTAATCAGGGTCCTTATTCAGGTATTTGTCCAAAGTATTAGGAGAATAAAAATATTGATATCTTAAACCAATTTGCACGAGGAATCCAATTCTAATTACTTTAGAAAACAAAATTTTAATTAAAAGTTAGGTGTAATTTGACATGCTAAACTTTAATCATATCATTGACAATACAAAACCAAGAAAAGATTGTTTTGGAAATAAGACTCCTCTCTAAATATGTTTAATTTGTTTAAAATATAAACCAGGATTAGAGGAAACTTTTTAGTCCTGCTGTCCTATTTTGATATGAAATAAAAATTCTGGCATGACTTTGCTGTATCATGATTTTAATATGAATCATTACAATGCGTGTCCAATCTGTCCGAGTTGAGGTTCATGTGTACTTGTCAAGCTCAAATTATTGACAACGAGTTTGACTCGATGTAAAATAAACACGTTTTTAATCAGATGCACCCAGAAGAAAAAGTCATTGCAATGCTACCCACATGCTCACAAATTTTGATCTTAATTGAATCCTGCAAACTGAGTTTGTTTTGGAAATGGAAGGGCCAGAGCAGACAGTTTGATGTGTGGAAGAGAGGAAATCATTAAGGAAAATGATTTAAAAATAAATTTTTTATATTAATTTTTTATATCATTTAAATAATTTATGTATTTAATAAAAATTTATATTATTAAATAACATATAAAAATTATATAAAAATATTTTATAAAATAATTATTTCTAGATCACCACCTCCGAAGTATTAATAAGTTCCCATCAGATTGGAACGTGATAGCTAACGCCTTAATGGCCCGCCTCTTTCTTTTCTTTATCATCCATAACTTCTTTTCAATTATTTTCTCCAAAATATTAGATTGCACAATATACATCATTGATATAGACTTCTTTATGAATATATAGATATTTGAAAGGTTAGTTTTGCTTGTGTCATCATCTCCAAGAGTCTCAATTCAACAGTGTCAACTTAATTTTTCTTTTTTAGTGATTAACTGATTATCTATTTCTTTTGACTATAAACCAAATTCAAAATTAAATTCTTCATAAACTTGTAAAGGTATCAAATAATTTCAATTT